TTCTGTGATGGCTCCCACTTCTTCCAACGCACTGGCCTCTCCCCACTCAAGTTCAAGGTCCAGGAGACCCGCACAGTGGCCCTATGTACCTGCAAGGCCACGAAGAAGCCCCCGTACTGCGATGGCACCCACAGGAGTGAGCGAGTACAGAAGGCAGAAGTGGGCTCCCCACTCTGAGAGTGGGTGGCTGCTGCCTAGCTCCAGGCTTCTCTGACAGGCACCCCCTTTGTGGGGAAGAAAAGTGAGTACCAAGCCAAAGAAGGGATCATCCAGGGACCCCAGTACCCACAGCTGGCTCTTAAAGGACTTGCTCTTCATAACCTGAGGTCTCCAATCTGAGGCAGCCAGGAACAGGACCCTGGTTCAATACTTTCTGGTGGAAAAGATGGCATTAAATAAGCATGCCCATCTAGAGCAGTATTCTTATGGTCACTGGTGTGAGACACAGGGCCTACCCTCTCCCCGCCATCCCGATCCTAACTTTGGTTGGGAGCACTTGACCAGCCGCAGGGTGGAGGCAGTTTAGGTTCATTCCATATGGTGTCCCCAAGGCAGGCTGAGCCCAGAAGAAGCATGAGGAGGAGGCCAGAGGACCCATCCATCCTTTCCAGGGCCCCTCAACCCCAAAGAACTGGAGGCTCTGGAGAGTATGCAGCATTTATTACAAAGCCAGGAGATACAAATGTCCCAGGGCAGGAGGAGGGTACAGTCATAGCACCTCACACAACCCCAACCACCTAGACTGTGAGAGTCTTGCCTCTTCACCTCCCTGATCTATGTGCACTGGAAGAAAACAGGTGGGCAGGAATCTGCTGGGGTCTGCTCCTCAGGGGGTGGTCCACTGACCTCTCTGGATGGAGTAGAGGACAGAGCTTACAAGTGTCTGTCTTGTGCTTTTAGATGCCCCTTTGGCTCTTTCCTGACTCAGCCTCAGCTCAGGGTGGGGAAGGGACTAGAGAGCTGTTTGCCTTTGGCAGAATCTGGGGTCTGTGCTTGTGTGAGATTAACCCTACTCTACTCTCCACTACAGGCCCCCAAGTGAGACTTTACCACCAGCCTTGCTAGTCAGGGTTCCTGGTTGGGGGTTGGGGCACAAGGGGGTAAAGCAGTTCACAATGCTAAAGCCACAGTGGAATTTCAAGGTCTGAGGCCTCCCATGGCCTTAATCTTTTCCACAAGAAAAATGACACAAAGGCCACACACACCGGGGGGAAAAAAAAGGCAGAACTATCTATTCTTTGCACAAAGTTTCCACTGCAAGAGGAGGAGGTAAGGGAGATGCCATATCCACTGCCCACTCACTCCTCAGCACCAGGGGATAAACTGCGTTTATAAAAGGCACTGTCTTATCAATTCTCTGGACATTCAACAATGGGGTGGGTGGCACTGGTCAGGTCGGGGCAGGACAGCAGCCAAAATGGGGAGAGAAAGAGGGTAGACCCCATACAGAGCCAGTTAGAGTTGTACCTAAAGCTTTGGGGGCCGGTGGGCCCTATCTGCCTTGGGAAATAGAAGAAGAATGAGGCAGAGCTTTACTGAGCCTCAGGTGGCCTCTCTAGTCCATCTCCAGGCACCCCCCAAAAAGAGAGTAGAGCAAATTACACAAGACTCCCTAAAAATGAACACCCCACCCTCCCACATACACACACATTTAAATTAATCTGGTTGGTCCATAGAAAATAAGTATGTATATTTGGTTTTTCCTATGTACATATATATATAGATTTATTTATAAAACCCACCTCCCACCTCTAAGGTGGAAGGAGCTGGGGAAGGTAGAAGAGGTGGAAAAAGGGGCCCAAAAAGCGGAGGGGTAGAGACACATGGCTGGAAAAGGAGGGAGGTCCCTTTCCTCAAGTTAAGGGGGGCACAGGAGCTCCATTGACAGTCATCTTGCGCCCCCTGCTGGTGGAGGATGGTGTCTGCAGGCAGTTCGAGGTGCCCCCGTTGGTAGCTGTGGTGACCCCACTGGCTGCTGAAGCGGGAGTTGGGGAGGTAGGGTGGGTGGCTGGGGGCCCATGGGAGCTGGGAGAGCCATGGGAGGGGGTGGCTGGGCTGGGCAAGGAGGAAGAGGTGGCCGGCAAGGTGGCAGGGCTGGGAGCCTTGTCGCTGACTGACTCACACTCGGATGCCCCACTGGTGTTGGTGCCCTCGGATGGGGTGGGCGCTGTGGGCAAGGTGAGCCGCTTGCAGGCTGGCTGGACCCGATACTTGAGGGGGAGAGGGCCATTCTGCAGGGAGAGTGGGGGGAGAGAGACAGGGAAGGGGAGGGGTCAAGACAAAGGCCAACCCGACTGCCGCCCACCTCCACCCAGCAGTGCCCAAACAGGAAGAAAGTAAAGGTCCGGGCCTTGGAGAGAGAGATCACACAGAATAAATAGGAGGACCTAGGAAAAGTGAGACTGAGCGAGGAAGGCCGGAGCGACAGGGTCACACAAGACCCAGAGAGAAACAGAAAGTGTAAGACCAGAGACTGGAGAGAAAATGAGAGGGAAGCCAAAGAACAGAAAGCAACATTTACTCCATAGCCATCAGACCCTCTTTTCTGACCCCAAAAGGGGGCACATAATCTGCCCCAAGGATCCTTTTCTCCTTCCGATTGTGGGAGGTCATCAGAGATGGCCCGGTATGGTGGGCCACCTGAACATGGCTAGCTCATGGGACGAAAGATGAACTGTCTGTGATTAGAGCAGGGTGGCCCATGTGGTCACTGTGGCCACAGACCAATGCCAGACCTGCAGGGGTCCCCTCCCAGACCTGCCCCCATCCACTCTGCACTGCTCCACCCTGCTCACCCGCCGCCAGGGGTAGATGTAGGCAATATCCATGAGGGTGTAGTATTCCTTCAGTGGCTCATCCTCGTATAGAACCTCCACCTGGAGGAGGAGAGGGAGAACATTATGACCCTGGCCAGGATTAAGGTTCGGGCCATCTGGCAAAGAAGCTCCAAGCTAGGAGTCTTGAGGGTGGGGGTGGGGGTCAAGTGGACTTGTAGGTGGTCCCTCATTACTCTGGGGTTTCATGGTAGATTTGACTTCCTCATCAGAGTTGTCCCAACATAACTCCTGACCACCAGGTGAGAAGGGATCCAGAGAAGACACCCACATCATTAACAACTCCCCGGCCCCAGTCATCCGCACAGCCATCTGGATCCCTTAATATACCTGGTAGGTCACCCAGAGAAGCTACTGGACAAAGAAAAGACCCAGGTGAGAAGGATGTCATAGAACACTGGCTCTCACCCGGGCTGCACAGTAGAATCACCCAGGGAGCTTTAAAAATACCAATGCTTGGATCTTACCCCTAGAGAATGATTTAACTGGTATGACATGAGTGGGGTTTTGAACCTCCCCACTTGATTCCAGCGTGCAGCAAAGTTTGGGGTCCACTGTCCTAGACCCTTGACACTCAAGGTGTGCTCTGTGGATCAGTAGCATTGGCAGCATCTGAGAGCTTGCTGGAAATGCAGAATCTACTGAATCAGAATCTGCATTTTAACAAGTTCTCTAGGAGATCACAGACACACTCAAGTTTAAGAAGCAATGTCCTAGAGTTCTGTTGGAATTTCAGACTGGCCTTTCTTTTGGCCAACTGGCCCCAGATTTTTGCACATATACTTCTGCATGCGTGTGGATGCACACACACACATACCACCTTGTTTCCATGTACCTCTACACACTGGTTTCAGGAGATGCAGACTGCCCCATGCTAATCTTGGTTTCAATTACCCTTCTACTTGAGCTCAATTACACAACCAGGTAAGCTCTTGATGACACCTAGCTGACCCTGAACAATGGGATGCAAAGATTGTCAGACACACCCACCCACCAACATTCACTTTTCAAAAGAGCCCAGGGACTCACCTTGTACTTGCTGGGCACATCCATCTTGTTTCGGAGAAATTTGGCAAGATGCATGACGGTCATGGCTGCAGGACATCGCAGGAAGCGCACCCCTGTCTGCTGGGGGAGAGGCACCCCAGGGCTGCGGTCCACCCCACGCACTCTCTCCCAGCCGACATCCCACTCCTGGGCAGGCCCCAGCACTCACCTTCTCCTTATCGCCATCCCCATTCTCCAGGGGGCCCTTCTTCTCTTCCCGGTCCCTAGAGAAATAGAAAGAATGAAGCTACAGAGACCCTGGTTCAAGAAGCCTTCTCTAGAAGGCCCTCCCTCCCAGGGGAATGGGGGAGGACAGGAGAAGGGGGCAACATAGCCTAGGACCCCTAAAGGACCAGGCATGGGTCAGACTTGCCTGACAGCTTCATAGAACTCGATGGAGAGGCTGACAATCTCGTCGTCACTCAGAGCCCCCTTCTCCTGCTCCAGGACCTCGCCACGGTCCTCATTGGAGCCGTTGGGGACTGCAAAGGAGAGAACTCTGAGAAGTTGGCCTAGGATAGGGGAAAGGAACCCCACCAAGGACCCTGGATCTCGAAGCTCAGCAGGGCGAGGCTGGGGAGGCAGCGCAGTGGTGGACGACAGCCCTGTGCATCCAGCCCTAATGCCTGGGGCAGCGCCACACACTCATATTGTCCCAGACCTGGAAGCACACACGCACGAACTCACCTTCTGTCAGAGGGTACGCTGCATAAAAATCCCGCCGCCGTTTCATCTCATCTGAAAGAAAGAAGGAAGCAGGGTGAAGGAGCAACAGGCTGGGAAGAGGAGGGTGGTGGGCAGGAGGAAGGGTGTGTGGATACCTTTAAAAAGCCCAGGGACCAATTTGTAGACGATGTCTTGGAGAGTTTTGTCAGATCTGGGAAAAAAAATATACAGGGGCCTGTCAGCAACCACCATACCCTGATCTCCCCAGCCAGGGACCCCACCCCTCATCTCCTCTCCTTAGATTCAGAGCCCAGCCTTGAGGTCCCTGAAGACCTGGTCTTTACCCCTCTAGTATTTCTCATCTGGATACAACCCAGAGGAAGGGAAGGGGCCTAACACTTCTCCCCCACCTGCCACCTTGGCTACAGGAACAAGGAGGGCTGAGGGACAGAGAGCTGACCCAGAGGATCACAGGCAGGAGGGGCAGTGCCAGGCCCACCTGATGCTCAGCAATGGCCGGGTCTTATGGACTTGCACATCACACATGGGGCAGTACTTGTTGGTCTCCAGGTAGCGCACGATGCAGGTTTTGCAGACTTAAGGGAGATGGAGAGAGGGAGGAGAGTCAGATCCCCCTTCATAACCAGGCCCAGCCCCCACGCCCTCTGCTCAGGTTCGGGTATCCCTTCTCCTCCACCTTGTCCCCACAGTTCAGAGGCCCAACATAGTCCTGTTTTGCACAGATGGCAACTGCCCCATATCCATCCTTGGAGGGGGCAGGTGTGTGTGTGTGTGTGTGTGTGTGTGTGTGGCCAATATCATGTGTCATGTGTAAGGTGAGCCCCAAGTGCCAAGCTCCCCTTGTGGAGTACAAAACAAGAGCCAGCCTGTTAGACATCTCCCAGGGTCCTTGACCCCTTGCCACCAAGCCCAGAGTGCACGGCAGGGGTACCTGCATCTTCAGGGGGTGAAATTTCAGCCACAAAGATTTTAGATGAAAGTTCCTGAAATGAATTTCTGGGCTGAAACCACCAGCCTCCCCTCCCCAACAACCTCTCTGTGACCTCGGGACCCCCACCAGACACATGGACATGTTCACTCTTCAGGGTGAAGCCTGTGTGTGCCTTCCCTGGGCAGTGCCCTCCCTACCTGGGAAGAGGCGACCCACCCTGAGAAACAGCCCCTCCACCCAACTCACAGGAATGCAAACACTCCACGATGGTCGTGGCGTCGATGAAGTAGCCCCCACATAGGGCACACATGAGGTGAGGGTTCAGCTCTGTGATTTTGATCCGTGTGGTCCGATGCATGATGTCAGGAAGTAGGGTGAGGGGCTAAGGAGCGTCACCCTGGGAAGTAAATGTGGCATCAGAAACCCAGAGATCCAACGTCTCTCCCTGAGCCCAAAGCCTCTTCTCTCTGCCTTCAAGGCCGATTGGGTGGATGCATGGGCTGGTACCTTCTGTCTCCCTGTGGGTGTTCACAGGGTGCCCAGGGCTCTGGAGATTCACCCAACCTTGAGCAATAAGGTCAGGCTCCACCTCAGACCATAGGAAGTAATACGCAACTCTCCAGAGGATGTGGGGAGGCAGGAAAATGGAAAAGAACAGACTTTTTAAAAATCTCCCTAATCCCAACTCATTCATTCAAGTTAGTGCTAGGAGATATGAAGAAACTCAGATAAATAAGCTAGTGCCCTGAACTTCAAGAAAATAAAAGGAAAATAATAGTGTCCCTGCCTCCTCACTCCCTCTGTATAAGTGCGAGACCCCTAACTTAGTCTTTCTATTCCATCCTATCCTCCTACCATCCCATCCACTCCTCCAGGAAGCCTTTCCCAGAAACACTATGGGCATGGGCTACCCTAAATTTGAAGGGACACCCCATCATTTGTCCTCTACTCTGCATCCAGCCCCGACTCCAGAGCAACAATCTGAACATCCATAACAGGCGGACCATGTGGGTTCCAGTCCTGGTACTCAGGCAGGAAATACTAAGGACAGTCCTTACATGCCCAAAGTGGGGACCATGCAGCTCCACCTGTGCCCATGAGCACACAGGCCCAGGAACCCACCCTCCCATGCACACGTGGGAATTTCCTCATGTGGGCACTGCCCACCATCTCCCACCTGGTGCCATCTCTGCAACCTGTCCAGGCCATCCAGTTAGACCACAGGCTCTCAGAGACGCCTGCCAAAGCTAGGCAATAAGTTCCCTGTCCCCAGCCCACCTGAACATCCAGCCAGGCCCAGGCCCTTTGCCAGGGAGGTCAGGCAAAGCCCACCTCTGGATTGGCTGGTGTGCTTGCTTCTCCATATGAAAATCAAAGCTGCACCTAGAAGGGACAGCCCCTCCCTTCTTCCTCTTTCCTAGATTAAAAGCTCAAGGGGTGGGGCTTGGGAGAGTGGCCAAGCCCCAACGGCTCCTTTACAACATACACCTTTCACTTCTCTGAAACATTTCTAAAGCCACCACATTGGGTTTTCTAGGACCAGAAATTCACAGCCAGGATCAGCAGTTTCTATAGAGACCCCAGGATGAGTCTGGCCAGGACCCAAACAGCCAACAGAGGTTGGCCAGAGACCGAAAGAGATGGAGAGACACAAAGGCCACATATGGGAAAGACACCAAGATGCAGGGCAGACAAAGGGAACAAGCAAGCAAGCCCGGAGAGCCAGAGGAGACACATTGGCCAAGACCTGCAGACCCAGCCAGAGGAAAGGAGTTCCCACCTCACATAGGGTGGCCCTGTCCTGCGTTCCCTGGAGGGGTTCCCCCTTCACAATTATGTAGCAGGCTTGCTGGCAACTCTACTGTTTGGTAGTTTCCATAGTAACCCTGTCCCTGGCAAGATGCCCAAATATTATTACAACCATTCAGAGGAGAGAACAAACTCTAAGTGGCCGTTTCACTGAGTGCGTAATATCCATCGGATGTGTACGTGCCGTCTGGGCTTCCAAAGGTATTTTGTGTGACTGCTTGTTGCATGCATGCGTGTGTGTGTGTGCGCGTGCGCGTGTGTGTGTGTGTGTGTGTGTGTGTGCGCGCGCGCGTGTGCACCCAGAAACAAAACATTTTGGGGTCTGATAATGCTGGGGGTCCAGGATGCTATTGGTGAATCTCATACCCCCTTCTCTTTCTGTCACCCTCTCACATATGTACATATATGCAAACACATAGTGCTTCATACTGTTTTAGCCACCTCATTCACACACTTGCTATGTTTTCAAACAGACACTTGCTCTTAAAAACTCCCATATAGTACCTGCCAGGCAGACTATAGCTTCAACACACAGGAGCTCCGAGGCACATGGCCATGACCCACCTCCTCAGGCATTTCTATGGATTCAGGCCCAGACTATCCCTCAAGCTCCTTTCTAAATGTACAGGTGAAGGAAAGAGCCGTGGTGCTTATCGAAGGAATGAAATATTTCTCCTTCTCCCCTTTAAGAAAAGAGCCCCCTATGACACTCCCTGCTCCCCCCACCCACCCCATCCTCAGGGCCTCAGACTATTACCTCTGAGGCTGGGGGTGGGGAGAAGCCCTGATTGGTTCCTCACCTGATTGCCATGGTTACTTGCCAGCAGGTGCCAAGAACTGTAAACAGAAGTTCTATTCCCTCATGCACCCCCTCCCCATCTTCCTGAAACAGGAAGCCTCAGGGCCCTACACCTGACACCCAATTCCTCCCCAGCTGAAATTGGCTGGTGTGTTGTAGGAAGGAGAGGGAAGAGGGGTGATGGGAGGCTGGACTGCCAGCATCATCACTTTAGGGAAGCGGCTGGGGGATGGCAACAGCCTGAGGGAGACAGAGAGGGAGAGACAAATCCAAGAAATATTCAATAAAGGGAAACCAAGAGCCATTTGGAAGTGGCCTCTGTGGAGCTCTGAGGGCTCTAACCAGTCCCCACAGTGGACCTGAGTACTATCTTCCATCCCCAATGCCTTCTCCCATCCAGGGGCCAAGCCCTTCAGTATATTCTATCCCCAAACCACGGCTTTTCAAGGGCACAATAGTTGGGCAGCCCATGTTCCTGGCTCCTGGCGCCCCAGTCTCAGCTATAGTGATAGGAAAGGAGCTTGATCAGCACCCCATTCCAACTCCATCTTGCCAGTCCTGGCATTTGTCTTTCCCCATCTTCAAAGTCCCCTACTAACAGAGACCACCCTGCTATCTGTTATAACCAAGCACTTTCTGGAAGCTTCCTTAAGACTGATGCCTCTCTCTCCTGTCAGTTTTTTTTCATTTTCCCCTGCAAAAATAGTCTCTGATAACCCAGAAGTCCCTTTGCTCCTTTGGATGCCCGGCTATAGCTTTCTTTGCTCTTCCTTACCTCCAAATGAAATTAGCCCAACTCCCTCACTAGAAAATCTCCAGGTCTTAGGAAAAGTCACTCAAGGTCACATCCAGACATCTAGAACTGCAGAGGTAGAAGGGATCTTAGAAAGCATCTTGCCCAATCCTTTCATTTTATAGATGAAGAAACTCACAAAGAAGTGACTTGTCTAAGGTCATACAGCAACAGAGCAGCAGTCCTAGGACTAAAAACTGACTGACTCCCAGTCCAATGCTCTTTACACACTGGCACTGAGGCCAGGCTCCCCACTCATCTAAAGAACCAATAAGCCTGGCCTGATTCCATCCAAGCAGGTGGAAGATAGGAGATTCCAGGTTCCCTAGAAAGACCGCTCAGTGAGCTTTCTGGAAGCGGGGGGTCCAAGTCCAGCCAAAACATGATCAGCAGCACTTTCTCACATGCAGTAGGAAGAGGGAGCAGAGGCTTATCACCTCACCCCACTTCCATGGTACAGAGAGGGAAACCGAGGCTGCATGGTAACACAGTGAGCCAGAGTGTACCATCAAGACGCAGACCCTGGGTCACAAGAGTCCATCCCTCTCCCAACTGTGTGGGTGCAACTATGCAAGCCCTGTGTATTCATGGGGGGTCCACCTGGGGGCACTGCCAACTTCTCAATCTTTTCTGATCTTTGACCCTGGGACAAGGATCTGCTCCCCCACCAGATTCTAGCCTCCTGAAGCTGGGCTCACTCTACTCTCCCTCCCTTTCCCACCTCTCAGCTTCCTAAGATCAAAGACAAAAACCCAAAATATACGCACAGCTACAATTGCCAGATACACACGCAGAGAGGCACACCCCCTCCATCTCTCTAACTTACAACACAGACCAGACAGACACAACATACACATGTGAGCACACGCCAGATAGTTGGACAGACATACACACAGATACACCAGGCCAGACATACCCCAACACACATACAACCAGATTAGAGCCAAGACCACATTTGCCAGATGCATAGCCACCTCATCTATAAGTACACAGTCTGACATTCCCATCTGAAATCAGAGCTGCAAACACACACTAACCTTTTGTGCATCCCTGGTCCACCTACTGTAAATTATTATTATATGAGTTTTCTGGCAACAAAGGCAGTGTGGCTACCAATCTCCACTCTGGGGGCCAGAGGCTGTAGGCATAGGGTGGGCATCTGACCTGCACAAAGATGTAACCTCTTCCTGTTCAGGCTCTCCATTCCCATGGCAACAGCTCCATCCACCAAGATCTCTCAGGCACGGCCAGGGGCAGCAGAGAGCCCCCCTTCCTGCCCACCCCCTAAGACTTCAACTTGAACCTCACTCAGCCTCACAGTGTCTGGATCCTGAGTCTCAGGTCTCACCTGGGGTGTTTCCTGCCTCATTCCAAAAACAGCTAGCTCGAAGCCCACAACTCCCAACTCCAAACCAGGAAACCCCTGGGAAAACTTCCCCACCAAAAAGCTGCAACACAGCTGGCTTTATGCTCCTTTTCCAAGTACTAACACCTTGAAACAGAGCGGAAGGAGAAGAGAAATTAAGTTTCAGGAACAGATACAAACAGCAAGAGGTCCAGAGAAGGAGGCATCAGAACCGAGTATGAGACAACCAAGAGGCTCCGCTACCCCCAGCGACAGAAAGTCCTGGAGACTCAGGCAACATGGGGTTAGGGGGTAACTCTGAGAGACAAAGACCAGGGGCAAGCGCGAGATAGCGCTTCCACAATATTTACGGGCAGATTCACCACCCCAGGCCTCCTCCAGCCATCCGGAGCAATTCTGGGCAGATGGGGGCCATGGGGGAGGGGGAGAGGCATGCCTAGGCCCACCGTGGAAACAGGAGGGGCAGGGGTGTCTGTTTGCCGAGGGGTCCCACCCCCTCAGAGTTAGCAGCAAGAGGGCCTAGGAAGGGAGGGGGCAGCCTGGCTCCCCGATGTTAGAGGGGCCAGTCGGTCAGACCCCTCCTGCCTCCAAAGGCGGTGAGAAATATAGAGATAAATCTCCCCCTATCTCCATTCTACCCCCGCCCCGGCTGCCCCCGCCCCAAAGCCTGGGTCAGAGAATCAGGGACCCCAGTTACCGGGTGGCTGTTCCTACCTTCCCTAGAGCCAAACTTTCGGCGGGGCCCAAGGAGGGGTGTTCCGGAGAAGGAGGCTCTGCTGAGGTGGTTAGGGAGGGGGCGGGGCGCCCAGTCCTGGGATGGGGGGGAAAGGGACTGGCTGGGGGAGGTGCCAGAGAGGACCCAGCCTGGGGCAGGGAAGAGCGCCCTCCTCCGGCCCTGTAGCAATCAAAAAAGCATGTCCCCTTCCTCCGGGCCTCAAGTCCTTGCGCGTCCCCGACGCCCGGGTGCGGAAGAAGCAGAGAGCGACCCCTCACCAGATCAAGGAGGGTAGTGGGGTAGAAGCCAGGGCTGCTCTGGCTCCAGGGGAGGGGTAGGGGGACAGAGATCCACCCCAGCACGTAGCCCCAAAGGCCTTGTGGCTGCCTCGGACCCTCCCCCTCTCTACCTCGGGAGCAGGTCTAGGAGGGGGCTGCGGCACAAAGAGGTGGTGGTCGAGAGAGACGCCAATCGTTAAAAGGGGGAATCCACTTCGGCCATCTTGGAAGGGAAAAAAGAGAAAAGGGGGGAGAAAAAAGGAGAAAGGCAGACGGGGCGAGCTAGATAGGGGCCGGCGGGGGTGGGGCGCAGAGGCGAGCAGCAGGCCGGGCTCCGAGCCTCCCCCTCCCACGGGTGTGTAAAGAGGATGCACCGCCCCCCCCCATTCGAATTCCCAGATGGTTACGGGCAGGAAGAGGAAAGGAAAGGGCAGTCTGAGT